GGAAACTAACTGAAACTAAACTGAATTAAAAATAGCAAACAAAGAAAACTAACAGAACCATAAGTTATCATTTGAAACAGCTGATATGCTCACACTGTTACTGTGTTTGTTCTTATTAGAGATGTTTTCTGTGTTTTTCCTCTGTTGTTACTTCTGTCCCGCTCTGCCCTCCGGTGGTGGCCGGCTGTTAGAGCGAGCTGACCGCAGGCTGAGCAGGCAGCACTCCCAGCAGTCGCTCACCCACAGCCAGGCTCAGTCTGTCAGCTCGCTGACCTCTGACCTCTGGGACCGCGGCAGCGCTGAAACTCCGGGTATCTTTCCTCCTTGGTTTTGTTTCCTTCTCACAGCAGGGTGAACGCATGGGCCGACTTATGTTTCCTGTCTTTGATCCACAGATAAAACTAACTCACTGTCTCCTCGCAGGATTGTGCATGAAGGTCACTGTGAGGTTTTTATTGTTAACATTTCACAAAGAGTTTCACAGCAACAGAGGTTTTCCAAGAAAGCAGAAGCAGAACAGAGTTCTTATTTGCTCTCACGCCTCTCTCTCTCTCTGTGTTTCTGTGTCTCTCACCCAGCTCCTGTGCTCCCTGGAGCGTACCATCAGGGCGTCCAGATGCAGCAGCAGCAGTATCACGGCTACATGCATCAGACCAGCATGTCATCTGTCAGATCTGTCACCTCTCCTCCACACTCAGGCACCATGGTACGCTCTTCTGCAACAAAGTTTTTTTGGTCTAAATTTAAAGATTTTTTTTCCCTGAAACCCTGAAATGTGTGTCTCGGTCTTTTTGCAGCGTGTTTACCGTGCGCTGTATGACTACGCGGCTCAAGATCACGATGAGGTCTCATTCAGGGACGGCGACGTCATCATCAACGCTCAGCCCATCGATGAGGGCTGGATGTACGGCACCGTGCAGAGAACCGGCAAGTCCGGCATGCTGCCGGCAAACTACGTGGAGTGTTGCAACTAGAGGAGAAGATGAAGTGAGACGGGGCTGAAATTCACAGTTACATCCACCTTCAGCGTTATAAAAGCAGCGGGTGATGTTCTTTGCATTTCAGGGCTCCTTTCTATTTTCAGTGTTATGGGAAACAGGAAGGACGGGTGATCGTTAAGCTGTTCTGGTCAAGTTTAAAAACAGGAAATTATGATTAAAAAAATACGTTTAATGGGTTTTAATTAGACGTGATGGATTGCAAAGCTGCAGCTTCTTTGAGAGTAAACACATCTGCTCAACAGCCAATCAAAGAGCAGTTTCTGCACTTAAAGGTGGAGGAAACTGACCAGGATGCAGTGCAGCAGAGTAGGGTGGGCTATGATTACAGAGGGCTGTCTGAATGTTTGGGGAAGGCCTTTCCTGTATCTGATGGACACTGATCAGATCGTCTATCAGGTCCATCGCTTATTGGAAAATCCATCTATTTCAGCTCCATTCAGGCCTTTTCTACAGTATCTCCAAAATTATTCTTCTTGTTATGTAAAATTAGCATTTATGTATAAAAAACTACACAAAATATAATGAAGCACTGTCCAGAAATATGTGCAAAGTCATGGAAATCAATTTCCCTTTTTTTGGCACAGCTCTTAAATAATTACATTGAACTCAAATCTGTAAACTCCTGCAGTTTCATCCATGTCAGTCCGACAGCAGCTGCAGAATCAGCATCAGCCGTAACCTCGAGGCTCTGGTCACGTGTCAAAGCTACTGTATGTGGTTTGAAACAGAGTGAAAGTGCAGAAGGAAAGTTTGGGATCTGAGCTGGAAATGAACCACAAGCAGCTTCATGGTTCTTCTTTAGGTGGCACTGAAATATATATTTTTTAATTTAGGCATTAAAAGTTTAAGAATCTATTGGGCAGAACTGTCTGGTGTAAAACAATTAATAGATAAAAGATAGATAAACCTTTGTAATTTCACACTAAGCGCTGCAATGCACTGAACATCATGAGTCGGTGATGTCAGGTAATAATTGACCTGAAGGGGAATTTTCTTTTGATGAGCGGTGGACAAAGAGGAAAAAGCAGATGGAGGGATCAATCTAGCATGCTGTCATGTTTTATGAGAATATAGACGTAGAGGAGCGAACGACAGAAGGATGCATGAAGAAAAGCGGTGAGAGAGACTAGAAACAAGTAAAGTGTAACTTTTTAATCACCTGTGACAAACTAAAAGAGGAAATGAAGAAGGAATGAGCAGGATTCATCTCATTTATAATACAACAGGAATTCAGACAAGACTCCTAAACTGCAGCTCTGGGTGTGGTTGTGTTTTTGATACTGCCAACAACGCCCAGGAAAAGACCACAAAACCTCGTTTCAGCTCCATATGTCGATTAATCCACAACAAATTCACTGAAAACTGCTAATTAGACTCATAGCTCATGATATGAGTCACTGCTTGGCAAACAAACAGGCTCTGCAGTCAGCTCACATCGACACGCTGCAGAGGAGATGCTCCTGAAACATAAAGGCAACCAAATCTGAGAAAAGTTCTTACTCGGCTCATTTTTTAAACATTCAGATTACATTTGTGGCTTTTACCTGCTATGAAATGTTTCCGTTTTACAGTTTGCATTTTTAATTTGCATTTTTTTCCAAAATGTTTTAAGTTTAAAAGACCTTAAATAACAGAACAAACCAAGAAAAAGATTACGTTGATTATTCCACCCTCACAAGACAAAATCCCAGATGAACAAAAACAGATCAATAAAAAACCAACAGTCGCTGCTCCATCGGCAGGTTTCTCCACCCTCAACCAAATGTCCTCCCATCAAACGTGGTGTCGCTGTGCTCTGATCAAACTCACTCACTACAGAGTGGATCTGATGGATTTCCTCATCTTATTAAATTCGTGTTCAGATGTGATTAAGACAGTTTTAGTTTTTATTCTTTAAAATAAAAGGAAAATGCTGCCTACAGCTTCCCCCTTATTCAGACGGGTCCCCACAGCAGGCAGCAGGTTTGTTTGTTCCTGGTTTTGTGTCTGTGGCTGGAGTTGAACTGGGGATCTTTGTAACTGCTTCACTCTGGCACCACCAGAATAAAGAATACAAATGAAAACTGAATTCAAATGTTGGCATAATGCAAATTTGATATGATGTCAACAAGTACAACGAGTTGTCCTGTTTTAAGACCATTATTAAGATGCATAGAAGAATAAGTGCTGTAAGACCTCTTACAGTCAGCAGGTGCTCATCAGGGAGAGACACCCATGAAACAGACCCCCTACTATCTGAGGTCTGAGGGACCTCCCAGGAATGCTGACACTATTTCCCACATTCCAGATGTCTCTTGATCTCTAATGTCGAACATGGAAAAGCCAGGATTAAACCAAGTTTCCTTGGCTGGGCCCAATTCTTGTTTTTTCGGCCTTCATTGCCCTTATTGAACCAATTTTGTTCCCCTGTTGCCCGTTTTTTTTGTTTTGAGGGGATTCCGGGAGGCCCGGGGGGTTGATTTTGGCCCTTTTGGTTTTTGGTCTTTTTATGGGTTTTGTTGGCATTAAGAAAACGACAGATTGTCAGCAGACTTTCATTTGAAAGGATGCAGAAACAGAAGAAGAGGAGCAGGGAATGAAAATAATTAGATCTGTCTTCTCTTTAGACGTGAGCCTGAGAAGGAAAAGGAAAGAATGAAAAGTCAGAAAATACTTTTTTCTTAGCAGTGATGCAACCAAAAGGAAGGAGTGAGGCAGGCGAACAGGAACGAGGTTTAGAAACCTCTGGAGTTTGAGCATTTATTTATCCCGGGTTTAATTCTTGTTCAGGTGAGTGTGGTTTTGTTTCTGACTTCTGGTGTACAGTAACCTGTCGACAAGCCACCGACAGATCATCGGTTTTAAACAGCAGCAGTAACCTCTGTGTTTGTAAAGGACTTCACTAACACACTGTGTCTTTCTGTTTCTCGTGTCATGCTGTCTGAATATCTCTGCACACAGTAAAAGTTTATATTTACTGAAATCTGAAGAGACTGTTTAAGTACGTCGGACTGGAGATTTCTGGACGTTGCAGACTATTTTGATACACGGGCTCCTGTCCACGTTTGGGAAAGTTCTATTTTACTCTTGTGTGTATCCAGTAAGTCGTGTTTTTGGGGTTTCTTGTCTTGCTGTGTGGATTGCATCCCGGTCATGTACTGAATAAATCTTCACTCAGCCATGATTTGTCATTCTAGCTGGAAACCATTTTTGCATTTTGTATGTTTTATTTCATAAAAATAGATGCAATAGAATATAATTTACTGAATATTCATGTGTTGATTGTGTTAAGTTTTGAAGAGACGCTGTTTCTTTTGGTTTTGGTTCACGCTTTGATGATTTTTTTTGCTTCTAATGTCACAGTTTTTTTTTCTTATTTACTCAGTATATCATCACAGATTTTACTAAATTTATTTACATATTATTTGAAATTATGGATCATTCAATCTCGGCTATGTTTTGCCATGTGATAATTGCAGTGTGTTCCATATGGGAGAAATAAAAAACAAATAAACAATCAACAGAAAAGTTCATCTTATTTAGAAATATGACTCAGATCCTGTTAATGCATCTCTGAAAGTGAGACGTTTACTGATGCCAACAGCAGATATTTAGCTGTTGTGTCACATCACCTTTCATGGGACAAAAATATTTCTAAAAATGTGCAATGATGATTTTTAAAATGTATTAGATGTGTTACATCTAATCTGGGGGGGAAAGCAAGAATAAATAAAATAAGACATCAGCTCAGCCGAATAATTACTTTAAATATGTGGACACAAGTGCAGCAAATACAGCATAAAGCTGAGCCATCAAAGGTGTGAAACACTAGGACATACAGCATGTTTGAAAACCACGACAAAGAAGCAAACTGAGGGTTTAAATACACACATAAGGTCATTAGTGACAGAGGACACACCTGGGGAAAAGAAGCACAGGTGAGCAGAATCTAACTATACAAGGGGACAATGAACTTAAAGCATGTGACATGAAGGAAAGTAAGACAGGAAGTAACAGAACACAAGACTAACACAAAAAAAGGGTCAGAAGATGCACAGAAACGAGACTAGGAGACATCAAACAAGGAGCTAAGAAACATAAATACCTAAGTCAGAAGCACTGGAAATGCTTTACCCAAAAGACTAAATAATATAACACTTGAATGTAAGCTACCTGATAAACCCAACAATAAATTGTGAAAACCACAAAACTCAAAACACGAGGTCAAAGATCCAGAAACCCTGACAGCGTGCTTCTGCAGCCTTTTCCCAAGAGCTCTGGTTTATCTTGCCATTGAATGTGTGAGGTAGTTGAATGCAAGGACACTCTTAAAAAAAATCAAAATAAATAAATCTTGATGTCAAGAGTTTCACTTCTGGTTAAAGTACCAGGAGATGATGCGGAAATTTTGAAATGGTTACAGAATATACATGCATACAGGGTATTAGTAGTGGTATTGTTTTCGTTTTTTAACTTTTATCTGTTTTTGTTTTATACTTTATCTCTGTGTGAAGCACTTTGTGATCTTTTCTCTAGAAATAAATAAAACAAAATTTTACTTACTTACTGTTCAGCACCTTTCATCCTGGTTAGTGAAGTTCAAAGTGCTGCACAGATGACTGACGGTCTGATAATAAAACAGAGGAAAGTCTAAAGTAGCAAAACAACATGCAGTGATAAGGACTTTCAAATAAATTGTAATAAAAATAAAATTATTTTTTATAAGTGACATTAAAACGTAATAAATCTTATAAACAGTCAGATTAAGAGTTTGCCATTAAAAATATGATGAATAAAAATAATTTGCAGTTCTTTTTTTTAATTAATATAGCTAATTCATAAAGAAAAAATATTTTCTTTACTGTTATCATTCTTTTTCCATATCTATTGTGGAACATAACGCTGAACATACAACAGGAGAAAAGTGCGCACTGACAGAAAAAACAAAGAAAAAAACATTTGTATATATTGCATATTGTGATTTGGATGTGTACGTGACTGAATTGTGTTTGAACGCAATTTGTGGCTACAATAGCAACAACAACAACAACAGTAACAATAATAACAATAATAATAATAATAATAGTTGGAAATTAGCAATATGCGCAGAACATCAGTTTTATACTTAGACTACGTTAAACTGCACTGTCCCTTTTAAATAAAAAATTAGTATTATTAATAGAAAACAGTTTAAAAAGATTAGACATTCATTTTAAAGCATCAGAAACAAGTTTTCGTTCTAGCTGCATCTGCTAATTTATTCTGACATTTCGTAGAAACGCCCAGTTTGTTTATATCTGCAACAAGAAACAGTACTATTATTCATTCTTAGAATTAAATATGAAATGTAAGTTATGAAGAAAGGTCATTCTTTCAGCACTTGATCAATTAAAGTTAGTTTTTATTCTGTTTTTTTCCTCGGCAGTGTTCACTTCCGGTTTTGTTTCCTTTCCATTTGTGCTTCCTAAACTTCCCCAACTTGAGCAGAAAGTCCACAACTCGGCTCAGCTGTTTTCTGTAAAAGTTACATTATTCTTAACAATCTCAACCGTGTCCAACCATTTTTATACCAACACAACAGCGACCTGGAAGGGGGCTGACGCCACACCACAAACTCCACCGTGACTTCTGCGCATGCGTCATAGAGTAACGGAAGCAGTACACCGACGCTCATAGACAGCCTGACTGTCTGACCGACGCTGAATGAGAACGCACTGATTTCGACTTCAAAATGATGAAATTTCTGCCGAAACTTCTGCTACTGGTGTTGTTAGCCTTTCCGGCGACTCTCCTTATCAAAGGTAAGTCTGTAACGGCTCAAGATACGAAGAAAAGCGGGGAAAAAAGAAGTGTTAGCTGTCGAGCTAAGTAGCTGCTGTGGGGAAAGGGGAAGGCCGCTCTCCGTTAAGCGTGCTGGTTAAAGTGAAGCGTGTATATAAAAATGAAGGGATTCGTCGTAAATGTGGGGCTATTAGAGGGATATCCCCACGGTGGATTTCGTTTTCGCAAATGCCTCTTGTTGTTTCGTGTAATTTAGTGTAAGGTAGCTCACGTGAAGGTACTTTAAACGCCTGGTTAGACTGACGTGTCCTTACTGTTAGCAGGGAAGCTAAGAGGCTCAGTTAACGTGCTGCTTTATTTCAGCTCCTTTATTTCCTCTCTGTGTAAACGGCGCCTCGGAGTTGCCACACATAATATGATGTAATCAACAAAACTTGTGAAAGTTGCTGAAAAACGGGGTAAAGTTACTTTTGTTGCTACGCTAGCTTACTTAGCTTAACCCCACAGAACTGAATCACAGAGTGACTGTTACTTCAAATGCCCGCTTAATTAATGTAAGTAGATCATTAAGTCTGTAAGAGTATGGCTTATTTACTCAATTGGTCTGCACACTGTGCAGCTGAACGGGTGTTTGGAGCCGATTAAGTTATCTGGATTGTATCCTGTTGGCTGTGATTGTAAGCTGTGAGTTAGTTCGGCGTTTACATGACGAAACGGACGTGTTGGTTTCCTGTTTCTTTTAAGCAACACTGTTTTTACATCACGCGCCTGTGGGGATACGCTTTTAGAGAGTTTAACAATAGCAATTTTATGTTAGGGTATTGATATTTGTAATCATAAAGTCTAACCAAGAACTTGGTTTTGTGTGGATATTATGCATATCATTATTATCACGGTTAATAATGTTGTAATAAGTTTCATTTTAATGTGTTTGTTAATCCCTGGCCTTGTGTATATGCAGACAGAGTGAGGGGAAGTAGTTGGACTAACCTGACTGTTATTGGGTTGCTGTCATGAGTCATAAAACTAGGCAGCATGGTGCTGCATTGGTTATCATGGTTGCAAAACAGCAAGAAGGTTCTGAGTTGGAGCATCCTGGATGGAGAAGTCTGCAGCCCAAATAGATGCATGTCAGGCAAATGGGTGACTCTGAAATGATCTTGTGTGTCAGTGTCTGACTCTGTTAGCTGGGGTATGCTGCCTTCATTTGGATAAGCATTTAAACAAGTGGATAGCTGCACCCTAATTGACAGGGTGTGACTGCACTGATGAGCTGAACAAAGGTGTTTGCTTTCACGCAGAACTGAATGTTAAATGTTCAAAAATGTTTGCATGCTAGTGTTATTCGTCAATTTTCTTAACTCTATCCAGTTCAGTGTGTGCTCCATCCACACTGAACTGGACAACAGACAACTGTTCCAGCTGTCATGGGGCGAACGGTGTGGCCATGTGCCATGTGCAGCCAGCTGGGTGGAAGAGAAAACTGTTTGATCAACTTGTTTTTTTTTTTGTTTTTGTAAACTAAGTTTTTAGTTGTATATCAATACCACAGTTCAAAGGTTCCCTGATTACAGCAGATGTTGAAACAGCAGAAACTTCTACACTTACACCAGCACTGATGCCTTCAAGTTCCATGTAAACGATGACTGGGATCTGGTGATGTTACAGTTTGCGCTTGATACAACCAGTGAACCAGTGTGGTGACCATAAATGCCAGTAAGGTTTAAATACATGTGACTCGCTACCGTTTAGTTCTAGAACTAAAGATGGCTCTTGGGTGAGAAGTGAAGTCCAGTTGCCTTCTTCACTTGACTTAGATCTGAGATGATGGCCGTCTTGGAAAATGTAGAACTGTTTTTGTTTGTTTATAATATATTTACATGGATGGCTTCAGAGAGACAAACATGGAGACTTTGATGTTTGTATCTACCTTTGAAAGATTGTGTGATGTTACCTTAACACAATCTATCATCCCAAGCTTTAAACCACCAAAAGTAGACTTTGTAATTTCCAAGTTTTTAGGTTGTAGTGAATGCTGCAGCTCGGTGTTTAGCTCGGTCTGGATCTGTTCTCCAGGCTATGCTTGGATTCTTCTCAAGTTTGAGAACCATGTAGTCTTAGGTACCAGAAGAACATTGATTGAGTACAAAGTCATATCTGTGTTGTGGTCAATTTTAGGCTTGCATCCATTTTTCCAACCATCATGGAGCTCATTGGTGAACTGAAGATGTGTTTAAATATCCGACCTCTGTAGCTGCTCCGGGGGCTTTGAACCATTGCATGAAATAAAGATTGTGTTTATAGGCTTGGTAAAAATTCCCATACTTTCTGTCAGGACCAGTGGCAAATGCCCAGGATTTGACTGAGGATGAGGAGGCTGAGGCTGTGGATGAAGACGTGGTGGACGACGTGAACGAAGAGGATGATGAGGCAGAAGTGGAAGATGATGATAACACAGAACTGGTAAGTGATTAAATTAGCTGTAGAAATGTGTTCATAGATGATGCAAGTTCTCGCTGTTCACTGTACCACGATGAACGTGAACCTGTTCTTCGTCCTGTTACCTAAACCTGTGCGCTTATCTAGACGGAAGAAAAAGAAGATGAAGAGGAGGAAGCGTTGGTTGGAGAGGTGAAGGCTTCCCCCAACGCTGACACAACCATCCTGTTTGTCAAAGGAGAAGGTGAATGTCTTTGTGTATCCGCCCTCTTGTTTTCATTCAGCGGTTTCTAGACTTTCCTGTATTGAAACCCCCGTTTGATTCATGTCGTCCTTCCTCTAGACTTCCCAGCCAATGACATCGTTAAGTTCCTTCTTGGCTTCACTAACAAAGGGTCGGAGAACTTCATCGTAGAGTCTCTGGATGCTTCTTTCCGTTACCCACAGGTAAGAAAATGAGCTGTAACAAATATTCATAGCTGCAGCTTCATCTCTCTCTAAATTTGTCCTGTTGTCCCCTTTCAGGATTACCAGTTCTACATCCAGAACTTCACCGCTCTCCAGCTCGGCACCGTGGTTCCTCCCAGCAGACAGGCCACCTTTGAGTACTCCTTCATCCCTGCAGAGCCAATGGGTGGGCGGCCATTCGGACTCGTCATCAACCTCAACTACAAGGACAGCAGTGTAAGCATGACTGGTTTAAACTCTTCTAACGTCAACGATGTAACGAATCGGATTCTGTGTGGAAATTTGGGACAATAAGTAGGAAAAGGTCACGTGTAGCCATTATTTTCCACCATTGCGTTTGTTTCTTCATTTACATTTCTCATCCATTCTTTTCCCACCTACAGGGAAACGTTTTCCAGGATGCTGTGTTTAACCAGACTGTCACCATCACTGAGAGAGAGGATGGGCTTGATGGAGAGACGTAAGCATGCATATATACACACCCAGTCTGGCTTTTTTTTCCTCCCCTTTGCCTGCATTTGTCCATAAACCCAACCTCTCTCTTTCTCTGCCAGGATCTTCATGTATGTCTTCCTGTCAGGTCTTGGGCTGCTCGTGGTTGTAGGCCTTCACCAGCTGCTGGAGTCCAGAAAGGTGCAGATACCATCAGATGAAACTGTTTTTAAAGAAATGGGGAGTTGAGGGGAAAAATAAACCCTTTGATGGTTTAGCTCAGGGGTGTCGAACTCCAGGCCTCGAGGGCCGGTGTCCTGCAGGTTTTAGATATCACCGTGGGTCAACACACCTGAATGAAATGATTAGTTCATTACCAGGTTTCTGGAGAACTTCAAGACATACTGAGAGGTCATTTAGCCATTTAAATCAGCTGTGTTGGATCAAGGACACATCTAAAACATGCAGGGCAGCGGCCCTCGAGGCCTGGAGTTCGACACCTGTGGTTTAGCTAGTGTTTTTTTTGTTTGTTTTTTACATCAGGATCTGCAGGTGTTTGTCACAGACTTAAACTCTTTGGAGCTTTTGGCCGAAGCATGAGCTACATGAGGTTGAGTCGGTGTCATTAGCAAAAACAAAAAGCAGACAGCTCATTCTGTGTTTGTGTTTGTAGAGGAGGCGTCCAGCTCCAAAGGTAGAAACGGGAACTTCGAGCCACAACGACGTCGACCTGAGCTGGATCCCCCCAGAAACACTGAACCAGATCAGTACGTACTCCTCACACATCCTGTGACCTCATCAGCTCGCACACAAGCTTTCTTTTTTATGTACTTTGTTATTTGCAGACACAGAAATCCAACTGTTTATACACCACAAGTCTCAGATGAGATTATTGTCAGCTTCATCGAACACTCACTCTCAGAGCACCTTTTAAGCTTTTCTTCCTCACAGAATCAGCTGATTCACATGTGCAGGTGTATTTTGTACATTCACCAATATTACATTTAATTCCTTTAATTAAACAAAAGACTACACAAGCTTTAACCATTTAAATATGGAAGTGACTCTGCAGAAGCATGTTGGCTGTTTTAGAGTAAAGTAACACACGAGCACTGGACCACGTGGACATCATGTGTTTGCAGTGAGCCACACGTTTCAGTGATATTTAAAATACAACCTGATCATAGAATGAGGAAATTTCAGGTTTCAAACAGTGCTTGCACAGATGGTGTTTCATTTCTTAGTACATGCTTAGTTTAGGCAGTTTTAGGTTCATAGATTTCTCCAGGTTAAACGTCTTAGCTTTCATTACCTCGCTGCTTCCTGTGCAGCTCTTGAGGTTGGCAGACGTCTGTGGAGCTGCTGTTTCTCTCCACACACAAACATTTTCCAGTTTGTTATATGAACAGGTTCAGGATGTTTGCTGCTGTTGCTGCTCTGTTCTTTCTTCCTGCTTCACCTGCTGTTTCAGAATGATCTTAATCCTCGACTGAGCGCGAGGATCACTCACCTTCTTTCTCCTCCTCTCTCTGCTTTCCTTGCTCTCATGTCTTCCTGCGTCTTCAGTGCAGAGTCGCAGAGGTGAGGTCTGCTGCATGTCGTGTGTTTGTGTGTCTGTAACAAAACTTTGGTCCTGATGTTGGAGTGTTTTGTGTTCTTCTCTCACTCCTGGTGCTCCAGATGTTCTGATCTGTTAGTGAGAAACTGCAGAAAGTTAAACTAAACACAGTTAGTTTGCCATTGACATCACGTCACATTATTGGCATACATTCACCTGTTTTGTGATCAGACCATCTGGTTCTTGGGATTCTTCCTTCTGTGTGAAAGTTGGTCTTGTTAGAG